AAGAGGCACCGTATTTGCACAGCCGTACAAGTTCGAGCATCAATTTCGTGTATTTTGCAACTTTAGGCACTAAACTGACCGTGCAGAACAAGTTGAGGCACCCCTAGCGTATTTAACTCTTTCAGAAATATAGCTACAACATTCACGATCTCATGATTTTGACACAATGCCATATTTTTTTTTGTGGTAACAGGAGGAATGCCCCCGCCTCTGCATCATTTGAAGCACACAACCTTGGCAGATTACATTACGTTCAGAAATATAGCTACAACACTCACGATCTCATGATTTCGACACAATGCCATATTTCTTTTTGAGGAAAAGGAGGATTGCCCCTGCCTCTGCATCATTTGATGCACACAACCACTTATTAACAAGTACCGAGTAACAATCTCTAACAAAAGCAAAAGGAAAATTACAAGACCACAAGCCATAACCGACCAAAATAGGATAAAATGCCTACACAAAAATTCTAGTATTCACACGCCGGACAATAGGTTAAAATTCCTACACACAAGTCCACCTCCTCATCGACGCCCCGGACAATGGTCTCGACCCTGGCAGCAGCTCAGCGCGGGTCCCCCATGGCGTGGGTGTGGTTCCGTCCATGTCTCCACCCCGGCCTTGGTGTCACAGCCGTTGTCCCACTCCTTCAGGCTGCCTCGAGATGATTCCTTTGCCAGAAGGTGCGCGCCGACGAGGCGAGCTCATCCCCGGCAGTGTCACATCCTCCCGTCCACCGCAGCTTCACGATGACCATTTTCTTCCTCATTCGCCATGGCCAAGATGACATGCCGGTCTCCGTCTCCTTGCGGCACTTTCCGATACCAGTATGTCATGCTAGCCTGCCATATCTAGTTGCCGTTGCGACCGGCCTAGTTCAGGCCGCCGCCCCGACCCCTAGGTCCTCGTCCGCCGCCGCCGCACAATAACGGACGAAAGTGGCTGCCCATAACCACCTAAAATGTGAATATTCCTGGAATATAGGCCATCCACATCCATCTCATCCTGAAAACCAAACACTCGCCATCCACCTAAAAAGTGGCTATCTCTATCCCACTGAGGATAGCCGCCGAACCAAAAAAAAAAACATATATGTAGCTGAAAGTGTGTTATATCGACTAGAGGGTTTAACAAAACTACCGCGGACAAGCTCAACCACCTAATATGTAGGTGAATGTGCACAAGTGATTTTTGGATCTATCGAAATGATTTTGTGTTTAACAAAACAAATATTCATTTTTTAGCTTATCTTCGAAGGGTTTGGATGGATCGGTTTTCCATATTACTATTGTATGTTTATCAAGTATGTCTGTGTGATCACACTTTACCTGCGTCCTCAGTATAGTATTGCTTTCTACTAGGCATTGTTTTGGTACATCTGGAAGTAAACAATCTTTACTACATACTTGTTGACACTAGACTTTCACTTGCACAAAACCCCCTTTAAGATGACCTTGAACGGAAATGTGGTCAATGTGGAAGTTGTGTGTCTTGTCGAGGCAAATAACTTTTATTTTTTATATTAGCTCGATCCAAGTTCATACGTGACCTGCAAAACCAAAACAAAGAACTCCACGACGATCCAGCCTGGAGGTTATGGGCCAACCCGAAGCTTCCGGGCTTTCTGGACTGAATTAGGTTATATTTTGGCCTTTGGATGGAAAAAACTAAATTGTTTTATTTTAAATAAATTTATGATTGTACAATGACCGGAATGAATTGATTCAAAAACTTTCACGATTAGGTTATAGTTTGGCTTTTAGATCGGTGGCCAACGATACAACAGGCAGTTCGTGTGTGCGGCAGGCTCATCGCGCCTGGCGACACAAAAGGTGTCGGTCAAGAGGGTGTATGTTTTCTCAAGCAAGTGATTGCTACGATGCAACTAGAGGCGAGGACGTGTGGTGACGTCCTTGAGTGCAACTGCAATTATTAGAATTAACTATGGATCACTAGGATCAATAATGTGTGAAAGGAAAAATCTACCCAAACGAGATGTTGAACTCAATCTAATAGGAACATACCAAGCTGTCCATAAGGCAAACACTAGACCGGACCAAATTAACTTAAATAGTACACCATAAATTTTGTAGTACAATGTACCATATGAAACATTTTTTTGAGAGAATCTTGTATAACCCCTATTATGTTTCGGCTACACTTCATCTACCTGCGAAGCACCTGTCAACACCCTCGCTAGTTAGAAGGAAATGTGGCAAGGCCATGCTGTCTTGAGGGCAGTACACACGCTTTGTCTCGTCGCCACTACTTGGTCAAGGATCCCCCATGGGAGAATGCGACACGGTATTGTTCGATCATACACAACCACTCCTCGACTCTAGGTCAGTAATGCTTAGCATGTCCCATTGCCAATTCAAGGTTCAATTAATTGGATCCATTACAGTATATTTGCATGTATCTGTACTTGCCTATTTGGTAGTATATCTCTACCTAATAATAAAGCAAATTGGGTTTCCGTCGTCCGTCATGCACTTTTGCAGAAAACCCCCTGCATTTTTCATGAATTAACCCGCAGTAGACACTTAAGTCAGAACCGAACCGTTATTTTACATTTTTACGAACCCCCCCCCCTACGTTTTAGATAATTCACCCGCCGATCATATATAAGTCAAACAAATGTTTTTCTAAATTATTCATATCTTTTAAACCGTAACTCCGATTTTAACATGTTATATATGAAAATTGATTAGAAAAATGTGTAGAATCTGAATATGATGTTATTTTGTTTGTTAAATATTTTTTAAATATTATTTTGGAAGATATTTAAGTCAAACAAATATTTTTCTTAATTATCCATATCTATTAAACCGTAACTCCAATTTTAACATGTTATATATGAAATTTGAATAGAAAAATATGTAGAATTTGAATATGATGTTATTTTTACCTATTAAATATTTTAAAATATTATTTTAAAAGCAAACTTGTAACCTATAGGGCACGTCCGTTATTCTTTCGTACCACGACGATCTGGATTGCAAATAAACAACCACTAAAATCATAAAGAGACGAAAGAAAACATCGATAACCACACATGAGCACCTCTGAAAAAACTGGCAGGGGAAAAACAACATTCAAACACACTTTGGTTTGTGTGAACACTGAGGCCACTGAGGGTGAGAAGGAGGATAAGCGGCAACATAAAAATAATGCCTCGCTAAAATAAAGTGCATGAACATATTATGGTTATTGGGTTAAGAGTGTGTGTTATTTTTTTCTCCCGTTGCAACGCACGGGCTCTTTTGCTAGTGATTTCTAATCCGTCTTATACGTTAAGTGCAGGAGAGGCTACTTGCTCTTGGAAGACTTGCCTAAATTTATTGAAGAATAATTGATAAATGTGTGGCTGGTAGATAGGCCAATATCACAATTATTTCTTTCATAGGCACTTATTAGCACTAGCAACCACTCAAAATTATCCTCTCAACTTGTCAATCGATCATCTGAGGTTATATGGGTCAATTTAATGACGAAACATAGGGAGTATTCGTAACTTCCCACATGCATGATAACATTAAGATTTCATATTTACTAAACATGTTAACGGCGATTCCCATGCAAAACGTTTTCCAGCCCTTCCACCATACTAACACAAACCATTGTTGGCCGAATCCGCGGGTGCCTGCCAACTTTCAAATTTCTGGGGGAGTGTTTTTAGAAATAATTGAGGATTGGACACACCTGTTACATGCCTCCCTCAAAATTGACGAGTGAATAAACTCTTGTCGCGAGTAAAATACTCCGAGGATGGAAGATATTGACCACCCCATCACTCCATGAGCGGTATGGGCACACAAAATAGATCTTTCATTGCTGGCGCGGACATGAGGCGAGTACTCGCAGCGACGCGATCTTCCATGGTCATGGTGCGCCGGCCCCTTCTAGTGGAAGAGGATGGTGGCCTCGCAGCGCGGTCTGAGCGGAATTCCAGCAGCAGCGCACGTAGAATCTTGCGTACAATGTCATGGAATAATAAGAGGAAATCAGAAAAAGGAAGGAGGAGAATTTATGGGCAGCAAAATCAATACACAAAAAAGGAAACAAAGATAAGGAAGAGAAGAATACAATCCGTGATTTGACGTGAATTGATTGCATAATGCATTACCGGATTAAATATTGATTACCATACTGTTATCCAAGATTAATCCTGGTTTTTAAGCCAGATGAAAACCGATTTAGATAGAAAACCAGGAAAATCCACGAAGGGGTGGGGATATCATAGAGGAAGGGAGGACGAAGGAATGGGACTACGTAAGACGGGAGAGGGAACCTTACTCTTTTTTCAGGTAGTAGAGATTTAACACGTCACCTAAGCACCAATGCAATGAAAGTGGACTTAATTACTTGGGCTTCCATGGCGGTGTTTATGGATGCAGCCACAGATAAGGAACCAAAGTGAATAGGATGACACGGCACGGTATGGGCCGTGAGAAATTTTCAAATGGTTGAAAATGTAGTTAGTGAGAAATAAGCAATGAGAGGCGAGCTGTGTCTGTCATCTTTATATGCAAGGCAGCGAGATCAAATGCATCAACAAGCAGAGTACAAGACATAGAGCACCGATTGTCAAATACATCAACAAGCAGAGCGCATTTAGAAAAGGATAAACACCCTCGCACTGTCCTGCCCAAGATAGTTAGACTTAGGACAGCAGTTATTGTTTCGTGCACTATAATTCATACTACCGTTATTTTTTTAAGCAAAAGAGATGGTCACTAGCTATCACGTACATATATAGTAGTAGCCACAAAGTCACATCAGATCCTGCACGCCTTCTCTCTCCACCCGCCAGATTGAAAAAAAAAACACAGCCTAATCGATCAGATCAGTCACATGCTTTCTACTGCCCCTCACGCTTAGCTAGCAGCTTTTCAATTGAGCAATGCGATCACATGTTTCCACCACCACCACACCATATATACTTAGCGTCCTTGTTCAAGAGATGGATCGATCGCTGTACACTATACTTAGTTGCCATGGGCAGGTTCCACTTCCACCTCTTCTTCTTCCTCGTGCTTGCGCTCGCCACCAGCAGCAGCACCAGCGCAGTGGCCACTGCCAACGATGACGCCGTGCAGCAGCGGAAGGAGGCCATGGTGCAGGCCCTCGGGGTAGTCACCCGCTTCGACCTGGCCAACACCGACCCCGAAGCAGTGAGGCAGGTGAAGCAGGCGCTCGCGGTGCTGGACCGTGAGGTCCAGGCCCACCCCCAGCGGTGGAAGACCATTTTCAACGCCGTTGACAAGGCCATGCATAGCGGCGCCGACGACCGCAGCAGGGCGGAGGCGTCCTCAATGGCCAAGGAGCTGCTGGAGCGGGAGTTCGGCCCGTGTCCGAGATGCCTCAAAAGGGACCTCGGAGTCGAAGATCTGTAAAATGCATGCCACCGTTTGCCAGCTCCGCCTTTCTTTTTCGGCCTTAGCGTGCCATGTCTGTGCTGTTGCTAGTTATGGCGCTCCCGTCCGTGCGCTGCGGCATGTCGCAGTTGTCGGAGCTCCACCTTTAGTTTTCTTCCTGTTCCTTCTTCACGCCTTGGGATGCGGAACGTTTGTGATTTTCCTTGCTTGCTTGTAACCAGTATATCATTAGTCACGGAGGTGGCTTCTTTTGTTACTCTGTTAGTGCTCCCTGTGTTCGTCCGTGCATATCTAAGACAAGTTGAAACTGCATAGATTATTGTGTGCTCCATCTCACCTAGGACATTGTCATGCTGGTTTGAACAATTAGATGACCGTGAATCCGCTGCTTCAAGTGCTGAAAATGTGTCCCTCCAGGTGTATCGGCGTCAATAGGTCAGAACTACCTTTTTTGCTTGGTATATCCACACATTATTGAATAGCAATACTACTAGGGAGGTTATGTTTTTAAGGTTGGTTATGTTTTCACAAAATATTACTCCATAGCAGCGACCAAACAGGAGGTCACCTGGTTTAAGTAGCACTGACTTTGAAAAAAAAATCTCTAAATAAACTCCTTACTTCATCTCTCTATCAAAAAAAAAAAACTCCTTACTTCATCCTACATGTCCTTTCAAATTTGTGTCTTTCCTATTAATGGTTTTCATATTTTTACACTATTAGACATGCCTTCAGCCAGGAATACAATGGTTTACAAAATTATAGTGAAATTCATATTATTTTTTATTAAAAAATATTTTTTAGCCTCTAATAGACATTCTATAAACAAGATGATACCTCACATTGTTGCAGGAACACTGCTAAGAATAGTTAGGTTGAAGATATGGTTGATTAGTCTAATGAAATGAATAAGTGTGAGATTAATTATTCCTATATGGTAGCCACACATGATTTGTTGATGTGGAAGGGGCGCATGCATGGGAAAATATGTAGTGACTTGACAGGTTGTTGGTGTGGCATATATGCATGACTTGTTGATGTGGAAGGGTTATGCGCTTAGAAAAAATAGTTAGTGAGAGATGCAAGTATTTAATAATTTAGAAGATGGAGGATGTTGTGGACCCACCCACTGGCAGAGCTACAGCCAAGCAAAACTGTGCTATGGCCCGCCCAGGTTTAGTGAAAATACACTAGCATATGAGAGGAAATAGGGCATCGGAGTAAAATACTTGGACTTTCCTTCAATTCGTCCCGCCCAAGTTCTTGTGTGTAGCTCCGCCACTGGACCCACCAGCGACGGAATATCTACTTAAGTATAGTCAACCCATAATCACAATATGTTTTTATTGCTAGACGGATTTAAAACATGAGCCGCCCAAAAAGTTATTTATCTTAGGCATATGTGTCTCATCATTGACAATTTGAGCTAATGTTGTGACTAGGCTTTTACAAAATCACTTGCCCCGTCACTAGGCAAGGAATGCATCGTACGGACATGTAACATATTTTTTTGGGCGTATGGCTATCAGGGTCAATCGAACCTAATTAAGGGTATCTCCAAAGCAGTACCTCAAACCCCACTCATATGTCATGACCGCGTGGTCTGGATGTGGTGTGTCATCCGACGTGGTCCTGTATCGATCCGCCGAGACGTCTGAATCAAGTTTTCCTCACAAACTAAACCCAAATGTTGGGGCTTTTGCAGGAGTCCTGACACGAGACACATCGGACTCTCACCAAGAAATTTTGCTGGATGTGCATAGTTTTGTTCATCATTGCCCTGATGTGCATAGTTTTGTTGCCAGATATCCATAGTTTTATTTTGTTTATCACTAGCCGGATGTGCATAGTTTTGTTGATCACTAGTCGGATATGCATAGTTTTGTTGATTACTAATCTGATATGCACATTTTTGTTGATCACGGGTGCCCCCCCCCCCTGCTCCGGCAGTTCTTTGCACCGTTATTTTTTATTTATTCCATAAATAATCTCCTAAATTGTTGTCCAATTTTCAGAAATTTTATTTAAAAAAATAATATTACAATGGTAGTTCTGCTGAAAACAGCGTCAGTCCGGGTTAGTTTCATTCAAATCATGCAAACTAGAGTTCAAAACAAGATCAAGAGTATTTAGAAAATAGATACGTTGGAGATGTGTGAACCTCCCCAAGTTTAACTCATTGATTATCCTCAAGAAATTGTGATAAAGTCATTTGTTCTTGTTGATGTATATAAGTATATTAGGCAATCAAGTTTTCAGCTAAGATCATGAACTAACCACATGCATGATAACACTCAGAACTCATATTTACTCATGTCAATAACATATCAGCTAGGGATCAATAATACTACATCTCAAATATCAACACTTTGTCAAATTATCCACGATACAATGTAACAAATTGGTATATCGCTAGCCTTTTTAAGACCGCAAAACATAAATGCATAACACCTCTGAAGTTCAAGAGACGACTGAACATTGTAATTCAGGGTAGAAAACACCCAATCATGCTCACACTCATCATTGATTAAACCAAATGCATGTTATACTAAGAATGACAATAGCACTCGCAAGGTTGGTGCCTGAGTAAGAAGATGATGACTCAACAATAAAACTAAATAGATAGGTCCTTCGGATAGGGAAGCAGAGATTTGAGCGGTGTGAGGGCTCATTGTTTAAAATAGAGATACTTACATTTTGAGAGGTGTGCTTTTCATGTCAACGGTTTACGACCAAGTTTTTAGTATCTTCCATGCTAAACATGTTAATCATGGTTCCCGTGCAAAAGGTTTTTCTGCCTTTCCACCATACTAACGCAAACCATGGTTGTTCGAATCCAAGGGTGCCTGCCAACTTCCAAATTTTTTGGTGAGTGTTTTTATAAATAATTTAGGATTGGGCATCCCTATTACAAGCCTCCTTCAAAATTGATGAGTGAATAATCTCCCGTCGCAAGTAAAACACAATTAGCATGGAAGATATTGACAACCCCATCGCTCCATGAGCGGTATGTGCACACAAAACAGATGTTCATTTGAAGTTTTGAAGATGGCACATGAAACTTTACTTGAAAAGGCAGGGTAAATACTGTATATAGGCAGAATTTCCACTTAGTACAGGTGAAGGCTAGCACAGATTGAGAAGCGACCAACTAAAGGGTGACAACGATCATAATCATGCATTTTGAATAACTAACATTGAGAAAGAGCATGATGAGAATATAAACGCTTTGAATATAAATATCATGGAGGCAATATTGGGTTGAATTCAATTACATGCGGAAACATCTGCCCAATCAAACCACTCAAATACTTCAAAGGAGGATACCATCCTAACAAACCACATCATGATCATTTTAATGCATGTTGACACACAAGATAACTTATTATGCACTCCTATCTACTTAAGCATGACATGAACAACTATGAATTGTAATCATCATACACATGCTTACCCATGAATAACTAAATCAAGATCACTATGGTAAACATACTTAAAAAACAAAAACAAGTAGTGTTCGTACCAGCTTTCCTTTACCACAATCTTTTTATCAAATCATCGTCATTATTTCTTTTCACTTGTATGCCCGAATGATGTGAAAAATATAACATACTACAAGTGTGTTGTGGACTAAACTGGAATCTGCAATGACTATATTCACATGAGAAGATCAAAAATAAAACACATAAGAGCCAATTGGAAATTATTGTTGATGTCCTCTTCTTTGAAACAAGACTCAATGAGACGCAAGAAAATTCAAAGAAACAACAAAGAAGAAAAGAGTAAAAGGAAACAACGGAGAAGAAACGAAAGAGAAATTAGAGAAATCTTTTAATTTATTTTTTTAAATTTTTAACAAAAAAGATGAGTTCAAAGAAGCACACTGAAATATTTTTGCAGTTTTTACTTTCTCTGAAAAAGAAAAACAAAGAGGAAAAGCGAAAAGCGAGAAAATATTTACACGGAAGAACTCCCAATCAAATAACAAAACAAGAGATGAGAAAATTTTTTGGGTTTTATTTTTAATAGAAACACTATAGCAACCAAGAAAGAAGCGAGAATGTTTTTGATTTTTCAAAAAAAATATCAAACACACAAAAGGAAACAAAATAAAAGCAAACATGGATATACAAAGAAAAGGCAAATACCGACAAGTCTAAGGAATGTGGTAGCACGAATGAAAAGTCTCCCAAGCTTAGGCTTTTGGCCTAACTTGGTCACTAGCACTGCTTGTCTGGATAGTATGTTAGCTCGAGTTGGCATTCCTCTATCTGCCGCTGCTTGGCAAGCGGCTGCTTCCGCGTCCTGTTGCGCCCTAGCTTCTTCCAACGTGACATAATACTACCGTGTTGAGGAAGATTAGTAGGCCGTGTTGGTCGGGGGATCAGCTCTTTGAACCCTATATGATGCGAAATTAATTTCAGAAAAGTTGTGTGTTGAAGCAGCCCAGAACTCGTGCCTACCACCTCTCGATACAATCCGTAAGCCAACAAGTGGAATCAGAGGCTCGACGGGAGATGGCCAGTGATTGGCGGCGGTGGTGGACGACGACATCAGCAAGGGGAAGACGGGCAAAGGGATCTAGGGCGGCTAAGTACTTGCTATGTCCGGATCTCAATATCCTTGATTATATCAGGAAAATTTCGGGGTTTCATAAGCCTTCGACGATGAGGTGAGGGATCGTGCGGAATGACCTCGCCGGCTGGTGCTGACCACGATCGCACTCTTTCTGGTGCAAATCCGGGACGTCGACCAGCAGCTCCGACCAGCCCCTGGTGTGATTTTGTGTTATCCGCTGATAAATTCATATTTATGTGGGAAAATTTCTGGGTTGGTAACTGCACGTACTATATTGATGCTATAGTCTCAACTGGTGGTGTTTCTTTTTTCTAGATGGTAGGAGATGTGCGAGAATGAGGGAGCTTAGTGTCATAGAGCATATATTGTTGGACTTCACTACATAGAGGTCTTACAATGCGGCGGTTGTTCTACTTTCTCTCATTTTCTATCGCCATGAC